CGCCCACCCCCGCCACGCGGCTGCGCCGTCGGGCGCCCCGGGAGGTCCCTGAGCTCGCTCGCCCGCTCGGCGACACCCCCGCCCCCCGTTTCTTCCTTCCTTGCGCAACACCCTACCGTTAGAGAGCTAGGCGGGATTCTTTGCTGCCAAATTCAAACCCCAATACACAAGTCTTAGGCACAGATTAGCCACTCTTTGAAAGAGCAGAAATGGCAAAGGCTGAGGAGCCCCCCGAGGGACGGTAGCCAGCCATCCCGCTAGGACACTTTCCTTGCTTCAAAGGACACGTCTCCCCTCCCCCTCGACCTGCCACTTCGGAAGATTAAGTCCACGCAGAGCTGGGACGCCGGAGGCTCGCGCTCAGAGAATTTGCTTTGGGCAGTCCGTCTGCCTGCCAACTTGCCCTCCTCTCTCCAGTGTAAAACGGGTATCTGGGGGAGGGTTTTTCTCGGCAGATATGTGCAATTCCTGGTGCAAGAACTGCCTCCTAAAATGAAATCTATTTAACGCGGATAGGTAAGAATCCTGCCTACAAGCAAATACGAGAGTGGGCGAACAGAGCTCCGCTATCTGTAGAGCTGGCACAGCGATTCACAAGGGGGCCACTCCTGGGGCTCCTTTCCAGCTCCCCGCACTTTATGGAGCTATTGTGAATTTAAATGAATTGATACACATAATGAAATGATAGAAGTATTAAAGACAGTGTCACACATCTAAAGTCATACCTGCTAGCTATTAAATATCATTTTAAAGGATTCACTTGCAGTCTTTTGAGATACCAAAAAGAAAATGCTTTGGGTGAGTTGTCGAAGTTCTATAAAAGGAAACGTCAAGAAGACCTAGTCAGTGAGTGGATGATGGGCCTCATGCACCATCCTTGTGTATAACATTTTGTAAAATAAAACAGAAACCCAGAGCATGGGTATTTCCCAAGGGAATTATATGGTTAGAATTTTCCGATTATTTGTATGCTTTTAAAATACATTTTTGGGTCTCATACGCGATTCAGGGTGGCCTTGAGCTCACTTGTAACCCAGGCTAGTCTTTTTTTTTTTTTTTTGGCTTTTTTCAGGTACCGGGCATTGAACTCACAACCTTGAGCTTGCCAGTCAGGAGCTAAATCCCCAGCTCCCCCAGGCTAGTCTTAAACTCGCAAAGATTCCCCCTGCCTCAGCCTCCTGAGTGCTGGGATTACAGGCGGGCACCACCACGCCCGGCCTGTAAAAGATGTTTTAAAGACTAATACCATCACACAATTTAATAGAAACTGGTTCTGTTTATATAGGGATTTCTGAAAATAAGGTTAATTGGCAGGGAATCTATCACATGCCCCTTGGAATAAAATAAGTACTCTACAAAAGACCCATTCTGGCTTAGACTTTAAGGGGGAAAAGAACCTCAACCATTTTAAGATAATTAACATTTTTATCAGGTTTTCAGGGCTTGGTTATTTAAGGAAAATTTAATTAAAAGGTATAGCATCTGCTAATATGTTCAAAGAACTTGCTGTGTAGTTTTATATATGTGCGTATATGTACAGATCAGTTGGTAGAGAGGCAGTGCCCTATAATTAGCTGCAAATTCAGATCCAGAAAGTTGGTGAAGATGGAATACAGAGATCTTATTGCTTGTTTATAAGTCACAATCTAAAATGAAAGAATGATATGAGCATTCTTGGAGTACATGTATGTTAGCATAAAACCACAGAACTAAGTAAAGTTATAAAGAAGCCTTAAAAGATAAATTTCCCAAGAACGTCCGGGATATAGATGGAAGACGTGTCAAAAGCTGTTTTCTTAGCACCAGAAAAAGGAGTAATTGATCTTACCTACATTTATTGTTTTGTTTCAAGCAAAACAAGATGGAAAAATAGCATTTTAATTTGGCCAGAAGGTGAAGTGTCCCATTTTATTTCCTCTCCAGTGGCCCAATATGCATTCTGGCTAAGTTGTTTTCTGCCACCAAGGACAGTTAGTCATTTCTGTTGCTTCTTGGTGAGTTGCAGCCTCCTTTATATCACTGTTTACTGCATTTTTATTTTCCTAGCATACTATTTTGTATTTCAGTCAATGTAAAATCTCATATTCTACTGTTTGGGGTCACAAGCAACTCTGTAAACAGTAGAGACGACAATAACTTTCACTGGTGAAGTTAGGGAGGCATTTACATTTTCTTTTATAGAAAAACTACTTTTATTTTAAAAATGTGTTTTGCCTTCAGTGTAACACAGAACCTTGTATGACAGAGTTAAGAACTGAAACAGGAAGAAGAAATAACTTTATTTTTGTAAGCTACTTGTTAGGGCTTGGATCTTAAATGACTCCAAATTCTCATACTAAACAAAATCTTGGTTTGTAGCCTGTGGTGCTATTGGGAGCTGGTGGAACCATAGGAAGAAAGGAAGTTAGGTCCCTGGCAGTGTGCCCTTGAAGGAGGCATTTGGGACCCTGCCCCTTTTCTTGCATCTTGGCCACCATGATGTTCTGCCTTTCCAAAGTCCCAAATGACGGGGCTGAGGAGTCCATGGGGACTGAAACCATAAGCTAAAATAAGCGTTCCTCTTTAAGTTGATTATTTTGTCACAGATGGAAAACTGATCAACATACCATTTAACTTGTAATAAAGCAGAAAGGCCTTAACAAATGTAAAATATTTACCTTAAAAAATGTATTTTTAAACATTAGATTGCTCAGACTTTGCTGATGCTTTAAGCATATGCTTAATCTGCCTACTGGATAAACCAGCTCTGTTTAAACTGCTTCAATCCCTAGTTAACTTGTCTTGTAGACCCAAACATAGACTCTTGTAGCTTCAGTTGCTTTTCTGTCAGAAAAACATGCAGTTATAAAATGATACCAATTAATGCTTATGAGATGGTAAATCTTATAAAAAACCACAGTGCATTACTAGGACATCTATATTTTCCTCTAACCAGTTTCCAATTATCTGGGTGGTAATGGTATGGAGAACTCAAATTGAGGATAACGAATATAAAATTCTTTTAATTTAGCTTAACAGACTTTATTCTGGGAGAGAAGGAAATAGTGGTGGTAATGATGTTGCAGAGGGAACAAATTTCATTTGTTATTAATGTCTTTTAGACCAATGTCAAAATTAGTTTCCATTACTGTATTATTATAATATTTCTTAACTTTTGGACAGGTGGAAAGAGTAGGCACTTTCAAGGATCTGTAAGACTATGGACCCTTTCTGCAAAAGAGAACGTGTGTAATGATTTTTCTAAAATGTGTATTCACTTGTGCATGAATATCTGAATAAAACTTTTAGGGACTTCAGGGATTGCTTTGCAAGACAACTACCGATTCCTGCATCAAGAATTCTGTCAGCTTTTGTGCGATGTATCAAGCCACTGGTAAAGGAAAGAAATGGGAGATGGAACCACATAAAAGCACAGTTTGTGTGCACTGTGAATGAGGTGAGCCTGGGCAAATAGACAAGACTCTATATAAAAATAACAATAAAAATAAAAAGGAACGGCTGGGGTAACTCACTGGTAGAACACTTGTCTCGTATGTGATAGGCCCTGGGTTCAATCCCCAGTACTTAAACCAAGTTGTAACATCTTTGGGTATGTTCCTTTGATTGACTCATTTACTATGTATCTTTTACAACTAAAAATAGTGCGGAATTTTTTCTAGGTTTGAAACTTAGCAGACTCCCAATGTATTCATCCATCTCAGATCAGGTATAAGGGCCAGCAATTCAGATGAACTAAAATATAAAGGCCAGGATCCTGGTACTGGTCATGTCTCCCTCAATTTTCACATGTATAAAGTGGGATCATAATATATTTAATGGGTTCTTAAATTCCAAGGTTTGTTATTGTTATTATGCTCATACTTACCTTTTCTCTTTTCTGAGAACATCATGGCCTTCTTTAGGTATGTGCTGCCTTTGAAGTTTTGAAAACTGATACTATCAAATTTAAGCATGCTTCAATTCTAATGTTTCTTTTAAGAAAAAAGAGTACCACTTGTAAATTCATTCCACATGCTTAAAGGTAAGGTTAAAGTATGGAGCCCAGGTAAGTTAAAAGAATGGGCTTTAGGGTTGGACTGCGACATGGACTTGGACTTTTCCAGTTATTTATTTCTAACTTTGAACAGTTACTTAACATCTCTGGGCCTCATTTTCTTATTTGTATGATTGAGATAAGTAATAGCACTTATCTCAAATAGTTGTTACAGGGATTAAATGAGGCACTACTACAAGAGCAAAAGGAAGCAGAGGATGATAGAAGGAGGAAGAGCATGTCAGGAAGTGGAGGCACATCTTTCTGTAAATGAGGAGGGGGCTTGCTTGTGGCAAGGATACGATGGTGGGGTGCTGAAGGCTGGGAATGCACCTTTTGAGGAAAGAGTCATGGGCGTGAGTAGAACTCAGAAGCTACTTCTATCAGGTAGGAGCACCTAGCTCAGGGACACCTGACCACTTAAACCAAAGAAAGCCTTGCAATGGTGCTACTACACGAACTTCAAGAACCAATGGATAACAATACTAGACGTGAATTATCAATTCAACAAAAAATAGAGATAGCTACTTGAGAAGATTTACATAAAAGATACAGAAAGGTATTTAAGTCTGAAAGCTTCTAAATCTGACAAGATTTGGCAAGGTTGGCAAGGTAAAAGCAGCATGGTGGTGCCTGTCTGCAGCTCACACATGCT